TTCTGACCAAGGGCACATGCCCTGGTTGCAGGCTCGATCCCCCCCAGTAGGGGACGTGCAGGAGGCAGCCAATCAATAATTCTCTCTTATCATTGATGTTTCTATCTCTCTCTTTTCTTCTCTGAAATCAATAAAAAATATGTATTAAAAATGAAAGAAATAAAAGATATAAATCACAGTTTACTATCATTATTTGTCCACTGTCCTCCAGAGAGTGTAGGCTCCTTGAAGCCAGGGACACCATGATCATGCTTGCCTGGCCCATAGTGTAGGAATTCAGTAACAACACTGAGTGGGTGAGTGAATACTGGCCCAGTCTCATACAATAAATAGTCCAAGAAGTTCCAACTACAATCAATTTTTAAATATAGTAATGATCCTGAAACAAGTTAAGAAATTACTTTAAGAAAACTAATAAGTCAATTACATTATCCAGATTAAAACTAGCTTGTAAAGATATAAGGAATTTAAGGATTTTTGATTGCCACTTCAAATATGCCCATCCTCTACTTCCTTCCCCTCCTCCCAATTAAGCTTTAAGCAAATCTATAATAATAAAAGCATGATATGCTAATTAGGCTGGACAGCCAAACGAAGCTGAGGCAAGCCACTGCAGCTGCAAGGGCCAAGCCCCTTGCACGAATTTTATGCATTGGGCCTCTAGTCTGTAATAATAAAAGTATAATATGCTAATTAGACCGAACATCCTTCCTGACGAAGCCGTGGTGGCGGGAGCCAAGACAGAGGCAGCAGAGGCCCCCAGCTGCCGCCGCGGTGGGGGCCGAGCCCCTTGCATGAATTTCGTGCATCAGGCCTCTAGTGTTGATATAAATAAATAGGACATGCTTTTAGGAAGCAACCCAATATAAAGATCAAAATAATCATGATAACAGAAAAATTTAATGTCTTTCATTGCCTTATTTTTCAAAATTCAAGAAATGTTATCCTGCCTCATTCAAAAAGAAAGAAAATCGCCCTAGCCAGTATAGCTCAGTGGATAGACCCTCAGATTGAAGGGTCCTGGATTCGACTCTGATCAAGGGCACATACCTTGGGTGTAGGCTCAACCCCTGGCCCCAACTGGGGCACATGCATGTTTATGTTTCTCTGTCTCCCCACTACCTTCTACTCTCTCTAAAATTAATAAAAATATCCTCGGGTAAGGATTAACCAAAAAAGAAAAGAAAAAAAATCAATAAATTAGAAAGTGTAAGCAACTTCTATTTTTGTAGGTTTCACTTTATTCGCCAGAAATTTGCCTTTTGCTGAGGTAAAAATTCAGAATGTAAACTAATTCATTTCCAAATAAATGCAACAAATGATGATTACACAAGCACTAAACATCAACACTTATAGTCTATTAACTTTAAAGCCCACTAATTCTGACATTCATTCATCTTTGCCTTCTTGAAGTATTTCAGTTTTACAGCAAAATATTAGATAGAAAAACATTAAATGATAATCTTAAGGTTAGGAACAAAGATAATTTCTAGCTCCTAGTATTTCTAGCACTGCTTTTAGATTGCTTCAATAAATTCTATAATTGTTAACCACTGTTTTGCTCAACTCATATCAAAAGGTTAGCCCTAGCCCATTTGGCTCAGTGGATAGAGCATCAGCCTGGGGACTGAAGGGTCTGGGCATATGCCTGGGTTTCGGGATCAGTCCCCAGTAAGGGATGTGCAGGAGGCAGATGATCAATGATTCTCTCTCATCATTGATGTTTCTATCTCTCTCTCTCCTTTCCTCTCTGAAATCAATAAAAATATATTTAAATAATAATGGCCAGGATCCAATTTTAAAGAGAAACTTCAAGTTACTTTCACTTGACAAGATCACTAACAAATAGGTTACTTAAAAAAAAAAATTACAGAAAATGTTCTAGAGGGGATCAAACATCAGATACACTCTGTACCTATTCAAATAATGGAGATCACACTTTCAAATACATTTAAATTATTGTTGGATTTTAGTGCATGAAATCTTTCATTATTTTTTGAAATCCACAAACACAGCATTTGTTTTATTACTGTTTCATATAGCACTGGTCAATAAAAACAATTTATGTGTTGTAAGACTAATAACTTAAAACTAACACAGGAAATTACTTTCTTACTGATAAAAAAAATTTTATCCATTTAAAATGTTTTAGAAGTGATAACTTTATGATGTTGCACACCCTCAAAAAAGTCCAACTTCCATGAAATTCCATTTTCCCAGAATTATTAACCCTACTTATAAATATTGCTGGCCAAGAGCATTTACAATAATTATGCCCGGCCAGCGTGATCCAGTGGTGGAAGTCACAGTTCCATTCCCAGCTGGGGTACATGCCTGGGTTGCAGGCGCGATCCCCAGTGTGGGGCGTGCAGGAGGCAGCCGATCAATGGTTCTCTCTCATCACTGATGTTTGTGTCCCTTTCTCTCTCCCTTCCTCTCTGAGATCGATAAATATATATATATAAATATAATATATAAATATATATATATTAGAGGCCCGGTGCACAAAAAATTGTGCACTCGGGGGGTCCCCTCAACCCAGCCTGTGCCTTCTCCCCAGCCTGGGGACCCCTCCGGGGGGTCGGGCCAAAGCTGGAATTAAACCTTTCCTTTTGCCAGCCCGGGAGTTCTCCAGGGGGAAGTCCACTTGCCAGCGGGGAGCAGGCCTAAGCTGCAGTCAGACATCCTTAGCGCTGCTGAGGAGGCGGGAGAGACTCCCGCCACCACCGCTGTGCTGGCAGCAGTCAGCCTGGCTTGTGGCTGAGCAGAGCTCCTCCTGTGGGAACCCTGTGGGAGTGCACTGACCACCAGGGGGCATCTCCTGCATTGAGTGGCTGTCCCCTGGTGATCAGTGTGTGTCATAGTGACCAGTCATTCCCAGTGGTTCTGCGGTTAGGGTCAATTTGCATATTACCCTTTTATTATATGAGATCTTTATTTATTTATTTATTTATTTATTTATTTATTTTAAAAAGAGTATTTACAATTAGCCTTAAACCCATCAGGACACTGTAACCTGAAAAAAATGTCTTTCAGCAAAGTGAGACTTTAATACTTTTCACTGATTAAAAAGCTGACCTAACTTATAAATGAAAGACTTCCTTTTTTGGGCATCTTACTGAAGTATATTTTTATATCTAAAGTAAGCCTTTATATCTGAAAGGCCAATTAAGAATGAGTGGGCACTACCAGGTTAGTGAAATTTGCAAATTCCAACAATTCTTTCAAACTAGGAATCAAAAGAATGACAGAATCTCTAATTTTGCCATAGGTATTCACCAGACTTATGTTATCTTAGGGAGCTTTCACATGGCCTTTACATCCTCTTAGAAAATCACCACTTGATCTCACAAATTTTTTTAAAATATATTTTTATTAATTTCAGAGAGGAAGGAAGAGGGGGAGAGAGAGAGAGAGACATCAATGATGAGAGAGAATCATTGATTGGCTGCACCTGGGGATCGAACCTGCAACCTGGGCATGTGCCCTTGACCAGAATCGAACCTGGGACCCTTTAGTCCGCAGGTCGACGCTCTATCCACTGAGCCAAACCGGCTAGAGCTGATCTCACAAATTTTAAGATAATTAACAACCACCAAATAATTAGTGGCAATAATGTACATACAGCAATGGAGAATTTTTTTGGTATGGTATCAAGTATCCCTGATCTTATAAATGATAAAGGAAAGATTTCAGAACTTGGAGGCTAGGAATTGAGTGAACATGTAATCTATTCTGACATGGTAAAAGGGTCATTGTTCCACCTTGAATTCAGTATCTTTCCAAAACAACTTCATGATACATTCACAAACCAACTCTAAACATGACCTGGACAAATCGTCTTTTTCCTCAAGAGGACAATCCAACGAAAATCTTCACCCCAGCCAGCAGCAGCTCCTTGAAATTTCAGACATAACTGGAGGTTTTGTAATCAAGTCCAAATGTAGACACACACACACACACACACACCCTCCGATTTCTATCAAAGCGTTAACAACATTCTAAATCCTGGCTAGAGCGCAATTACTGGAAAGCAGTGTCCTTATGCAAGAGAAGGGAAGGTCTGAAACTGACAAGCGCACAGGTCCGCAGAACCTCAATCCTCTCGGTTTCACCAGGAGGCCAAAGAGGGAAGGCTCCAAGAAATGGGGGGGGGGGGGGGGTAAGAAAAGGTGTGTGTTTTTTGGGGGGGGGGGGGGGTCAGAGGCCCCTTCCCCCCCTACAAGGGGGAAAAAAAAAA